GCCGGGGCGCGGACCGCCGAGCGGCCGTGAGTACGGGCGGGCCGCGACACTCTTGCGCGGGCGGCTACTTTGTGGCGCCCCGAGGACCCTGCGGCTGCGGGCGGGGCCCGGAGGCACCTGTTGGCGCCGGGCGGGCGGGACGCACCTGCGGGGTTTTCGTTCTGATTTGATTTTCTGATTTGTTGACACTTGATTCACCGGGTTTTGGAGCAGACCACAAAGCCTAATCCTTGATCTCCCCCCACTCTCTCCCCTCCTTCTCCCGGCCCCACCCCGGCCGTAAAAAGAAATTCACAGAGAATGAACTGCATGCCCGATGATAATAGGCTTGTCCCTCTTTAAAAAACAAAAAAGGTCGCAATTGGGGAGGGAAATGAGGACAAAAGAGGTCTCTTAGGAATGTTGATTAGAAGGGGGAAACGTTTTCAAGTTGCCCACATACAGATCGTGTCCTCCGTGTTAGTTCACACTTGTGGCACCAGGCTTTATTAAAGCCGAGCTTGCAAAACCTTGGCTTCGGAAACCTGCTCCTGGCGTCCCCCTCCCCCAGGCCGCTTCTTGACATCTTTGATGTCCAAATTATGCGCTGAGTTCTAGGAGGGAAAGAAGGCTGGAAGTCCATTTTAGATAGACAATGGCCTTGGAAGACATCGATTTCCCCACCTCCACGCTTTTTCTGTTCAGTTGCATTTCTTCTTCCTCTCTCTGTCCAAAACATACGCACCTCAATCTGTTGTTTCCTTTGCCAAGAATGTTGTTCTTTGCACCCACAATCCCTCATTCTCCTAAAGTCCTCTGGGGGACCCTTTCAGGTGCTTCACCTGAGCAGGCTACCCCTCTCCCATCACCTGTACACCCTCCAGCCTCTGCTCCATTCTAGTAGATGTGACAGATATTTGTTGAGCCCCTGCCTGGTGTCAGGAGCTGTGCTAGATCCCGCTGTTGCTGACTTTTATAATCCTGCACTGGTCCCCCCTACCCCTAGATGTGGGCTCTTGGGGAACAGGAGTGGCGTGTTTGAGGAATGCTAATACCCCCCTAGACCCTTATGCTTCCTGCCCATGCGTCTCAGGGTGACAGTGTCTTCTACTGTGGGAACCCCTCAGAGCTAGGACGGGGGCAAAATCTGTCTTACCACAGCCATGGAGTATAGGGTCTGGGCAGTATTGGGCATTTAAAAAAAATAGCTGATTTTCATTACCAATCTGAGCACTAGTCTTTCTGTTTTTTAAATAAATGTCTTATTTTGGAGTAACTTTAGAGTTACATACAAGTTGCAGAGATAGCACACAGTCCCAATATGCCCCACACCCAGTGTTCCCCATTTGTTACCATCCTGCATTGCTGTGGTACGTTTGCCAACATTAAAAATTGATATAGGTACATTCTTTTAACTAACTCCAGACGTTTGCTTCTCAGTTTTGAGGTACTAAAATTTATGAAACTCTCTATGTTGAGAGCACTGTTCCTATATTGTCTGTCTTTAATCCCTGCTTGTCTTCACTAAGTTCCACAAGGACCCTGTGTCAAGGGACAGGGTTGGGAGTGGAGAGGGCAAGGGGCTGCCATGTAGTCTGAATGTATTTTTCTCCCTGGAAGAATGATGAATGGAAAATAGTGTAGAATATGAAGAAGCATAGAAGTCCTCTTGCTTTGAAACCATTCTCTGACACTCTTCATTTGAGATTCATTTGGTTTTAAATTTTTAGAAAAGTAGTTATATCTGCTAATCAACAAAACCTCTAGGGAGTGGGAATTTTGACAGGTGATTTTAGGGGAGGTTGGAGAATGTTCTCAACAGCCAAGTCATTGGCGGGCTGAGGGTTCTGGGGAGGGCAGTGTGAGTTCGATTTGGCCCGTTGGGCGACACTGCTCCTGTGATAGACACAGGGGCACCACTGAAAACCTGTCTGCTGGTGATAGTACAATGGAAATCCTGGAGCCAACCCACTATCATCCACACCCCAGGAAGGGGTTGAAGAGCCCCGCACTCCTGCCGCCCCATTTTTCAGCAAGACCTCTGGCACCTGCAGAGCCTCAGAACCAGGACCAGGATTCCCAGTGGGGTTTGTAAGTTTGGAGACGAGCTTGCTAACTGTCTGCCATAGTGTAACCATGACATCTTGTGTGGTTCTCTGCACCGCCTTGTGAATCGTGTACTACCCCCATTTTGCAGGTAAGGAACAGCTTGGCTTGAGGTCCCGGCCACCAACTACGTGGCACAGTTTGAGTCGACCCCTCTTTCAGCTTTGTCCCTGCTACAGCCTGTCTCTCGCCAAACTCACATGCTCGCTCCCTCGTGGCGCCACCTGTCTTGCCAGCATTGGTACACTTGCCCCGATTCCTCTGTGTCTCTGGTTTTCCCCTTCCCTTCCCCCAACACCAGGCTTCGAATGTTTGGCTCTGTTTTATTTAGCATGTGATTAATAAAATACTTTAAGATTCCCAGCCTCTTTTCTCCCCCTTCAGTCCGGTCCCCACCCTTTTAGCTGAGAAGAAGGGCAGGGTTGCATGTGTACTTCTTACCTCTGTCCCCTTCTTGTTAGCAAGGAATCTAGGAAGCTCTGCTAGGATGTGTCCCGGGGCCACAGCTGGGAAACTTGTTACCAATGGGAGAAATAAAAAAGAATGGATTGCAGCTTCTTGGAAAAGAAAGGCTCAGTGCAAACACGTTAATCAGTAGTCCTATGGGAGATGGTGGAGGTGAGACCCGAGCGCAGGCAGGAGGGGAGCTGAGGTGAGAGCCTGGAGGGCAGAGGTGCCCAGGCCACTGGGCAATGAAGGAGCCGGGCCCCTTGGACTCCCCAGAGGTCGGGGCGGGGGGGAGTCCACACTGGGCTGAGGGGGCTTCATCTGAGAGCACCAGGTGGCAGGTGGTGGAACCAAAGGAGTCTTCTGGCCCCTTCCAGCAGATCCCTGGCTCCTCCCAGTGGTCCACCAAGGCTGCATTTCCTGAAATGTGGAGAAAAGCTTTTCATCCTATAGTTCAAGTAGGAAGGAAGTCCGTGTGTGTGAAGGGAAGCTAGCACTGCCAGAGGCTAATGATACCCATGCTGTTGCCCTTTGCTGTGAATCCTTCCAGGCCTTCCATGCCCGTGTGTGCATGTGCTGTGTGTAAGTTTGAATAGTCAGCACATAAACTGGTATCAAAATCAAAAGTTATAAAAAAGCAGACAGTGAAAAGGAAGTCACCTTCCCTGTCCTTCCTATCCCCAGCCTGAGGTCCCACCTTGGAAATATTTCTGATTCCTGTCTGTCAGTGCCTTTGTCCAGTCTCTTTTGGTTAGACTTGAGGTGGTTCCTAATCTTTTGTTATTACAGGTGATATCGTAACAACCTTTATCCAGCTATTTTGCACGTGTGCGGGTCAGTCCAGAGGTAAACACCTGGGAGTGACCCTCAGTCCAGGGGCGTGCTTCCCAGAGTGCTGGTGGCTGTTACCAAATGGCTCCATTGCACCCTGCCCTCGCCAGAGGTGTTAGCAACCTTTTAAAAATCTTTGCGAACCTGCTAGGTTGTAAGACAGATATCAGTGTGCTTTTTTAAAAGTGTATTTTTTTTTTTTTTTATAATTTTATTTATTTATTTTTTCCCCCAAAGCCCAAGCAGATAGTTGTATGTCATAGTTGCACATCCTTCCAGTTGCTGTATGTGGGACGCGGCCCCAGCATGGCCAGAGAAGCGGTGCCTCAGTGAGTACCTGGGATCCGAACCCGGGCCGCCAGCAGCGGAGCATGCACACTTAACCACTAAGCCACGGGGCCGGCCTCAGTGTGCTTTTAATTTGCATTGATGAGTGAATTTCACAACTGTTCTCATGTCTACAGACACGGTGCTCCAGGCTGGAGACTCTCTGGCTTTGAATCCAGCTTAAGCTGTGCAGCCTTGGGAGGTTGGTTAACCCCTCTGGGCCTCAGTTTCCCTGTCTGCACAGTGCGCCTAACAAGAACACTGATCTCTTAGGGCTGCTGCTAATTCATTTGATTCTGATATAGTCAACTGCTTAGGACAGTGCTGGCCTTGGCTGTGAGGCTCATCAGGAGCCCCTGCCTTTCGTTTCTGTGCTGGATGTTGATGTCCCCATACATGGCACCACCTGGGGTGCCGCTTTCTCCATGAACTCTGGCTGGACGTGGCAGGCCACATGAACACACACTGCATCACATTTTCTTCCCCCCTGCTCCAGGAGGGGGGAAGGTCTGTCCACCACACACCAGCGACATTGTCACCAAGCCCAGTAGAGACCCCTGTTCCCTCTGACAGCGACATGCTGTGTCTTTGCCCAGTGCCACCTCCCTCCTCGCGGGTGAGGTGGAGGGCTGGAGCTCAGCAGACATGGCCAGGCTGTGGAGCGCTGGCAGGAAAAGTAAAACAGTGCGGGGAATGGAGAGAGCAGGCGTCTTGGGGTGTGGCGCCCTGTGGGTACAGAGAGGGAAGGGGCCGCGGCCCTCGGCAGCCTCCACTCCATCCTGTAAGTGTCAGAGCTCCTTGGTTTGGGGTTTATTTCCTGATGTTTTTGTCTTTGGAAGTGTGGTAACAGCACCATATGGACATGGGCCTGATTCACGTTCCCTTAAAATAATCATACATGCTTATTTTAGGAGAGAAACTTCTGGAATACAGAATATTGTTTTTGCTCTAAAAAATTATCCTACGCTACTATCTAGGGGGATGGTAGCTGCCCTCCAAACCTAGGGAACATAATGTCTTGTGGTAGACGAGATTCCCTTGGTAGACTTTCCTTTCAGTTACTTCAAGGTGCTTCCTAATTTGCAGTAGATCTTGTCGTAAAACCTCATTTGCTTGAAAACTTGGCCATGATTTCCCCAGTGTAATAGTGGGCATCCAGTTGAAAGACCTAGTTAAAACACAATACAACACGGAAACCCAGGCCTGGCCGTTGCTCCGCCAGGACCCCGTTTGAAAAGGAGTGATGACAAAGGGTGGAGGTTAGGACTGAGATGAGGAAACGCGAGTGCAGGAGGCACACCCTGCCTTTGAGGAGATGACTATGAGTACTGAGCAT